TTTAAAAGAATTATGCTTAGCATATGTGAATTGTTAAGGGGAAAGGGTTGTTGAGTTATGAGTCTTAAGAACTACGTGGCTTGATCCCTCACAAAGGGGTACGTAGGTAGCCTAGGGTTTAACCTAGGTGCAGCCGCAAAATAAACTGTTTGAACTGTGCTTGTATTGTTCTAAGTATGGAAATGAATTTTGGAAGAAGAACGGTCTTCTCTAATTACTTTTACAATAAGTGTTACGAGTATATGGATTTACAATGTGTTCTAATCCAAGAAAGTTTTAGAGGATGTTTGGTTATGAGGCCGGAGGTCTATTTGTTGGTTGTGTGTAATGTAATTTGTGCATGCTGAAGTTTGGTGGTTATTAAATGGCATTCTTTGACAGGTTGAAAATTTTGGAAAATGTTCGTTTTTCAAGGGAGACTTTGCCGAAATTTTAGTAGAAATCTCGGCCCTCTTTTCCTTTGTTTAAGGGGAAGAGGATGTTTGAAATTAGTAAGTGGGCCCGGCATCGGTTGGATGTCGGCGGAAAAACCATAGGAAATGTCACGAATTCCGAGGAATTCTGGGCTGGTCCTGTCATCCGTCGTATCAGATTGCGCTCTTCCTCTCAAAGCATTGGTTATATTCTCTGAGCTCTTCTACATGTAAGTACAAACCCTAATCTCTTTATTTAATGATATTGCATTATGGCTTCTTAAATCAATAAATGATTGCGTTGGTTTTGATAGCTATGGGTTCTTAATATATGTTTTGGGAGCTATGGGTTCTTAATATATGTTTTGGGAGCTATGGGTTCTTAATATATGTTTTGGGAGCTATGGGTTCTTAATATATGTTTTGGGAGCTATGGGTTCTTAATATATGTTTTGGGAGCTATGGGTTCTTAATATATGTTTTGGGAGCTATGGGTTCTTAATATAAGTTTTGAGAGCTATGGGTTCTTAATATATGTTTTGGTGTTTGCATGCTTGTCATAATAACTCTCTGTTATGGGTGCTTTTATGTTTGGTTGGCCATGGGTTCTTGGAAAATGAATGCGAATTTGAGATTTATGCTGAAGGTTTTTGTAACCTACGACAACGGTAGATGGACCAAACTGTCGTCTATATTTTCATTATACGTTGGTAGTTCAGTTACTTCCGTCATTTGAATTTTTTTTGGATTTGGTAGCCTAAAGACGACGGTAATTCAAGATACCGTCGTTTGAGTTAATATAGCACGACGAATATTTTGTAAATACCGTCGTCTGATACTTGTTTTGTTTTTTTTTTCAAATTATTCTCTGCTATGTGAATATAGTCGTCTGTCATTGCTGGTCTTTTTACTTTATTATATATATGATTGTATAGTGTGGGAGATGGATAAGTCATGGATGCATGTAGATAGAAGATCGAAGGCATATGAGTTAGGGGTGGAAGGATTTTTGAATTTTGCTGTAGAAAATCTTGGAAATACAACTCATATTCATTGTCCATGTGTTAAATGTGGGAATATTCGATTGTTTGGGGTTGGAATTATAAGGGACCACTTATACTTTAATGAAATTGACCAAAGCTATAAGATTTGGACATGGCACGGAGAACCTTGGGAATGGACTACTAATGCTAGTAGAAATGTGGAAGAAGATGAGCAAAGTAGGTTCAGTTTTGTTTCTGAAAAATTAGGGATGGATGATAATGATTTAGGCGATATTGGATCTGATCCTTATGAGTTTGCCAATGTGATTGGGGATGGAGATAAACCTTTGTATCCTAGTTGCAGTAAGTACACGAAGTTGTCGGCTTTGGTGAAGTTATATAATTTGAAAGCAAAACATGGGATGAGTGATGTATGTTTTACATAAATTATTGATACTTCAAGGAGATTTGCTTCCAAAAGGAAATACAATACCTTCCTCTATGTACGAGGCAAAAAAGACTTTATCTGCTTTGGGGATGAGTTATGAGAAAATACACGCATGCCCCAATGACTACATCTTGTATAGGTTTTTGTTTTTAGTTGACGTAGTATATCTTAACCACGACGGTTTCGACGTTTTAAACAACGGTATGTTTTCAAATGGAGTTGTGGTTGTTTTTACGTCGGTATTTATGGAGTTCTTGACATGTAATCTCCTTTAGACGTCTTTATTTTGCTAAAACCGTCGTCTAAGGTTGTCGAAGTTTTCCTTTTGCTGTTTTTATAGCAATTAGACGTCGGTTTATCTTTTGATATGACGTTGTATGTCTTAACGACGTCGGTTATTTGCCATCGTTGTTTTATGTATCAAAAGATGGTGGTCGATTTCACAACGGTTTAAAAACCTTCTAGACGACGGTGGATTCTCGTCGTCTATTTTGATTTTTGTAGTAGTGCATCTTTGAGCTATCATGCACACTTGATTGAAACCTCATCTTTTAATCCGGGCCTTTGAACTAAATATTCGAATTAATCTAAACCATTCGAGTTTTCCATAAATACCCTTCATCCTCTCCATTTCTCCTCACACCCAAACTCTCCAAAACCTTCCTCCCTCTCTCCCTCTCTTCCTCCACCATTAAAGTCATTATTTTGATATTCTTCAGAGTTACTATTCACCCAATTACTATTCATTCAAAATCACTATTTATACCCGAAACCGCTTGTCGTGTCTACTATTCATCGTTTCGTGTCATCTTCACCTGGGGATACTATTTATACCAATTACTATTCATCTCACTGTTTTACTAAGGTAATTCCTATTTCTTATCTTGTATTTCATTCTTTTTAATTCCATATTCATTTTTCTAAAGTGTTATTCTGCCCAATTTAGAATTGGTAAATTCAATTAATTCTATTTTCTTAAATTGGGTAATTTTCCAAGTTATTCCTAAAATTTGACCCTTATGTCTGCCGTTTGAATTCTGATCAAAATATTCTGATGGACCTATATTTCCCATTTTCCTTGAACTATTATTACCGGACCCGATTATACCTATTTCCTCTGGTCCAGATGTATGAACAATATTAGATTATTTGGACTTTAACCTTACCGTATCGTGAACTGACCATTTTTGGACCAGGGATGGAACTTGAAAGACACTCTTGCTACCATACCATGGTTATTTTTTTATTTCTGGTAGGGGTAGTTGGCCTATAGGAATTGATCGTCAGACAAGCAAATTATGGGTACCCGAAAAACGTTTGCGAAAATTGTGTGAGAATGCCAACTGTTTTTGGATCTTATATTTATATGGAAATAATATTAGTTTGTGTTGTGTATATTCTTTTCACTGTTTTTCTTAAACAATGTTATATTATCACTATCTATTTTCAAACCTGGCCGGGAGCCCCTTACTGAACAGATGAACGTATGTGATGCTCACCCCAACTTGTACTTATAGATCAAAATCCTTAAGCGTCACCTTGTTGCTGTTTCCGGACCTGTCAATAGTTTGTTCTTGTTCCTTGTCCATTTTTGACAGGTCCTGATTTCCTTTCCTTGGAGCAGACTGTGCTTGTGGTTCATATCCCTTCTCTATCTATAAATAAAGAATGGGTTGGCGTGTATCTTAATTTCTGGTTTGTAAAATAACTTTTGAGGTTTCTGGCACTATTCACAACCTCTGGGGTTGGTTTCTATTTAATAAAGTTTGTTTAATATTTTCACTTACCATTGCTATTAAAAGACTATGATCCAATCCGTTCTAATTAAATAAAGGGCTTCACGTATTTTTGGAATCTTGGGAGTATAACTCCAGGGATATAGATGTTATATTTTCAGGATCCTCAAGGTACATGCCACTATCACGTGTCCTGGTTTTGGGGTGTGACAAGAGAGCTCCTAGGTTATGTAGTTTTAGGTGTTCCTGCTATACAATCATTTTAAATTTTATTGATAATCTTTTATTCTTGATGTTAAAACCCAGGGGGCGCTATGAACCACAACAGATTCGAGAGATAAAAACATACTTACATCGCTAGGATTCCTTGGTTTTATATTTATTTTGAGAAGTTAATTTACCAACCTTAGAAATGTGCAGAAAAATAGTAAATATTTCATATATGTCTTTTTTATTCAAATATTGGATATATGTCTAGGTTAGACATATACTTTAGTTATTAATAATTATTAATAATATTCCAATGTTAGATGAGGTTTTAGGTTCGAATCTCCCCTCATTATTGATAAAAAACAATATCATGTTATTGAAAAAAATATCACAATTTTATACTAGAGTGGACGTGATTTGATTTAATTCGCTCTAGACGTTAACCTAATTATATCATTGAATAAAACCAATTTATTTAGTGACTGGTCTGGTTTAATTATTTTCTGGTTATAATTGAGAAAAAAATTTCCCTTTGAAAATTGTGAAATTTTGCGAGATATGACACAAAATTTGAATGACGTTGAGATTTTATTTTTTGCTACTAAATGGTTTATATCAATGTATGAGATGAAACATATAAGTGAAATATTATAAACCAACTAATTGCATTTTTGAAATTACACATTTTTTTGTGCGTGTAAAATTCGAACAAGACCGTAGTTTTGGTTCAAAAATTAAAAAGTTTACACACAAAATGAATATTGTCATGTTGATTCTATTTTTAATTACTTATCTTTCAATAATTCATAAAAATCAAAAATAAAATTAACCCTACGTTTATGTGTGTGAAAATATTTTTCTATTGTAGAGTGAGTTGAGACAAATTAATTTGACAATAGGAAAGGAAAGGAAAAATATTTTCTTAAAATTTTGCATGAAATATATTTATTCATTAAATAAATTTATTCATTTATATATTTATTCATTTAATCGAACTATCTTCTTTTAAATTTTGTGTGTAGTTGGTTTAAATGGGTTTAATGATCTGCATTTAATTAAAACAGCTGGACATGTGTTTGTACGTTTTTTGAACTTTTTACTTTTTTACGCGTAACAACTTAGCAACTCAGCAACTGAGTCACCGAGTTATCACACCGACCTTTCATTTTACATTTTGAAAACCAAAATAGCGCCACAAGAATACATTCCCTCTTCTTTTCGTCTGTCTAACTGTCTCTCTCTCTCTCTCTCTCTCTCTCTCTCTCTCTGTGTTCCTCTGCAACAAGTAAGCGAAAGCGATCGAGCGAGAGTATTGAGTTCAACGATTGAGCGAGTGATTTTCTCGGTTCTCTCTCTTTAACGACTGTGTGAAATTTTGGGTTCTGAAAGCAAGAATGGCGTGGTCTGCTATAAAGCGCAGACAATTGGAGGATGGTTTTGGTTCCTTTGAGTTTCAGTTTCAGACCCAGAAGAGGAAGAGGTCTTCTAGGGTTTCTGAGACCCAACGGAAGGAAAATTCGACTGTTGGTCTTCCTCTGCGCAAAGTCAAAGGTTTGACTTCATCTGCTTCAAAAGAGACGTTGGATTGTTCTAAGGTCTTGGATTCTCTGATGAACCTCAGCCATGCGAGCTACTTCAACAAGCCTGTTGTTGATCCTGTGGCTGAGAATTTGCCGGGTTATTTCGAAGAAATCTGGAGGCCGATGGATTTGGGTACTGTGAAATCGAAATTGGAGAGGGGTGTCTACTCCAGCGCTGATGGCTTTGCTGCTGATGTCAGGCTTATCTTCTCAAATGCTTTCAGATATTTCAATATTGGAAGTAGAAATCGTGCAGCAGCCAAGCATCTGAGTGGGGTTTTTGAGACCCAATGGAAAAAAGCCGAGGAGAAAATGTCAAATACTGCTTGTCCTCCTCCTACTCCTCCTCTGCCCAAACGGAGACCAAATGGCAAGAGCTCTTCTGCTTGTAGGGTTCTTATGCAAAGTCAAGGGGTTGTTGGGGTTTCTGATTCTCACTCAGTTAAGTCAACCAAAGATGATGACTTGGGCACCCTTGTTCATCATGCCATGTATCAGGCCACAGACAATCTTTCTCCATGTAAGGCTAGGCGAATTCAGTCGCTCAAGATGCGATTTTCGGGTACAATACGGAAAGCAAACAAGATACTTAAAGGTCTACCTGATTCTCCACCAAGGAGAAAATTGATGCATCGGATGGATCAAAGGGAATCGGCTCGTCGTGCCGTTTTGAACATGGAGAAGTCAGTCCAATTTGAGGACCCCTTAAAGGATCTCAAACAACTTGAGATTCTCTGTGGCTGTGGCAGTGAAAGGGACTACCTTGGATTGCCCCTTAAGCATTTGGGTTTGTACCTCAAGGAAGATGACGAGTTGCAGGGTCAGGACGAGGAGGCTTTTCTGAATGGAGATTGGGAGGAAGGCGAGATCTGCTGGCAGGAAGGCGATTGGGAGGAAGGTGAGATCCGCTCATGAAGTACAGGTTACAAGCCACCTTGCCCCTGTTATTTGTTGTATATCGTAGTTGATTATATACTATAGTAATTCTGATTTTTTATTGTTGAGATGCCAGATTTGGAATATAACCCACTGCTGGACAAGATAGATGACTTAGAATCTTGCTATTAGGGAATCTCTTTAAGTTTTACTTTCTAATTTGTTATAGATGAGGTTTCCAATGTGGATATAGTTGTATCTGCCCGATGGAATCCTACACATCTAGATATCTTGGAAACATTAGCAAAGTATGCACTGTTATGATGCATATAAGATAACATGTGTGTATGTTCCAGGATATAATTTGTTATAGATGAGGTTTCCAATGTGGATATCGTTTCTAAAATGTTTTACTTCTTGGAACTTTTTCCAGGATACAACTGAAGACAAAGTGTGTATTTTCTGTTGTGTGTGTTTGTGTATACTACCCATGTTCATTGGCCATATACATTATACATATCATATCATACATTGTACGTGTCAGATGAAGTGGACCATTGTGCTCTCTCTCTACTCTTTGTATTGTTTATTTCGTTTTTTTTTTATGCCAGTTTTTGTGTGATTGCTATTTGATGGCTAATGCAACTGAGAGCGAATGGTTTGGGCATGAGGGACAAAAGGATGTAAGTTGGCAATAAAACTGAAATCAAATCACATGGAAGCTTATCAAGAACCTGGAGACAATTCCCCATCTTCGCAGGTGCATCAGCAGCAGCTTTTCTTTCCCTATGAACGTACACCATAGAGAAATTCCAAACTCCAGCTAATCAGGTTTCTGCATCTTTAAGTCTGTTTTGATTTATTAAAGGAATGAAATGATGAATAAGTGTTTTGCATCTGTACAAATAAAATGATTTCTTGTATAAGCTGTTCAGTTGCGAAGGTTGTTGCTATGGAGTGTGTGCCCCACTCATCTAATCCCAGCATTGGCATTTGCTTCAGTAACCCTGATAATCAGGTACCCCATCTCCGTTTCACCTCAAAATTTATGGTTTAAAGATGAATGACATTTCATGCAACAATTTACAGAGCTGCTACTGTTTAGGAAATCTATACTACCAATTTGTGTTCGTTGGTTTCATCTTGTCTGGTGTTTATGCCTTGTTTAGGAAAGCTAGGTAAATAAAAATTGGGTTTGTTAATACACACTTTGTGCCCTGTAGAGTTTTCAGTTTGCTATTCCCTGCACTTATCCAAATTTCGTTTGAGCTAGTATAGAAGCTTGGGATTGCTCCTTATAATGGTTTTTTCTTTCAATTTCTTTTGGCTTGGTGGCTGCTACAGTTTGCGGTTTGCATTGCTGTTAGAGTTGTGTTGCCTTCATCATCTCTTCAATAAGGGTTATATCATGGCTATTTCAGGTAAAATTGCTAAAGATTTTATATTATAGATAATATTTGTTTTTGTTAACTTGAAAAGGAAAATGGAGTGAAAATTCCATTATTGATTGTTCTAATAGGTTTTCTTGTGACCTTCCATACAGTAAATGATTTGTTATCTTTGCTTTATGCTTAGCTAACATTGTTCTTAAGAAACTGCTACTTTCACTAACATAATGTATCACGATCATTTCTAAAAGTGCTATAAAAAGGTCTCTGCAGTGATCTTTTTGTAATTGCTTCTATAGTGATGTCTTGGATGCTATAATCCATTTTTGTTTTTTTGTTTCAAATGCTTCCTACTTGGCTTAGAGGGATCTATATATGCCGCTCAAAGACGATGAGATCTTTGAGCATGTACATGGGAGGTGACAATAAGTTAAATTTCTTGGCTATAGACCATGGGTTGATAAGTTAGTACTTTTATAATGCGGTGAAGATCATCATGTGGAGATATAAAGGAGCTATTGGCTTAGATTCACATTTTACGATCAATAGGAACGGTTGAGAAGGTTGGTGTGCAAGGGACTCAGTTGCATTCTTTTAATTGAGACATCTCAAAGTGTTTGTGGAATTCACATCCCACAAATTGATGCTTTCTTTGAGAGCCACCTCAACAGGATTTTCTATTTTGTTATAGATAACTTAGAATCTTGCTATTATTAGGGAATCTCTTTTAAGTTTTACTTTCTAATTTGTTATAGATGAGATTTCCAATGTGGATATAGTTGTCTCTGCCTGATGCAATCCTAGACATCCAGATATCTTGGAAACATTAGCAAAGTATGTGCTTGGTCATTAAGTTTTTTTTTTTTTTTGTTCTGAGTACATTGCTTTCTGAGTTTATCATTGTGCTAGTTTTCTTTCTTCTTTTTGGTTTAATAAAGAATGATAATGATGCAAGCCAGAATATTTAGCATCTTGAGCAACAAATTATTCCTTGTAAAAGAGTGTTTCTGCGTCTTTATGTTGGTTTTGATTTAATAAGGATTTCTTGTCAAAGATGTTCAGTTGCAAAGGTTGTTGGCTGGTCAGGTCCCCCCAATATTTTTTTTCCCTCTTGTACTGTCTCTTCACGTCAATAATGCCATAATATGAAGGAAAACTATGGGGTGTGCCCCCTTCTTTTAAACCCTGCAGTGGCATTGCTTCAGTGACTCTGATAATCAGGTACATCATCTTCATTTCTCCTTTATATTTATGAAATAACCCAATCCGTGTTTTCTTTGTTTTTCTTTTGTGGCTTAGATTTCTCCATCCTTTTTTGTTTCTTTTTCTGGGGTCTCATTTATGTTGCTGTCACTATGGTTATGTATTAAAGATTAATGACATTTCATGCAACAATTTACAGAGCTGCTACTGTTTAGGAAATCTATCTTACCAATTTGTGTTCTTTGGTTTCGTCTTATCAGATGTTTTGAGCCTTGTTTAGGAAATCTATGGTAAATAAAATTTAGGTTTGTTTCATACTAGTATGATTTTCACTGAGAACTTAGGTTGATGAAGAAGAAAGGTTGTAAGTAAGTTTTAAAGTACACTATCTGCATCTTATGAGATCTTGAGGTAGTTTGAGCATTATATATAGATTAGAATGCCCAGCAAGCAGCAGTGAATTTTTTATTTAAGTCGCCGTATCTGGTAAATAAAATTGTATACAGCTCTGGTTAGAGTTCATTTGGTATTGTAATATTTCACCTTTTCAAACGTTTTCTGTCAATGTACATTTGCACAAATTAAGTCCACTCAAATTTTCTTTATCAATGACTGAAAATCAAATAAACAGAAACCTTAGAAGTGCCACGTTTTAAACAATTGCCAGAGCTGATGAGGGCACTCCAAACAATAAAAATAGGAAACCATTTTTATTTGGATGTGTTAAACAGGATCCCTGGTTCTCATCATTTACAAAAAAAACGTGGTACTTTCTGTTGTCACTATGGTTATGTTTTAAAGATGAATGACATTTCATGCAACAATTTATGGAGTTGTTACCTGTTTTAGGAAATCTATGCTACCAATTTGTGTTCGATGGTTTCATCTTGTCAGGTGTTTGAGCTTTGTTTAGGAAATCTGTGGTAAATAAAATTTGTGTTTGTTAATACAGACTCTGTGCCTTGTAGAGTCTTATCCAAATTCTATGCTAGTATGATTTTCACTGAGAACTTGGGTTGATGAAGAAGACAGGTTATAATTTTTGAAGTATACTATCTGCATCTTATGAGATCTTGAGGTAGTGTGAGCATTATATATAAGATTAGAATGCCCAACAGGCAGCAGCTCTGGTTAGAGTTTTGGCTTTGTATTTGTTCACCCCAAAATACGTGTGGCTTTGTATTTATTTATTGTTTTTTATACGAACGGTATTATACTTTAATCTAATCTAAATTACGTGAATGATTTTAAATATTCAAATCCCTTTAGTGGGCTTGTATAAGTTTCGTATGATGTGTTTGCACAAGCCTGCTGCTATTAGTATTGTTAAGCCCAATAGAAAGAGGTAATTTAGATAGAATTGTAATGGAAGTCTTGCGCGTTATGAAATCTTAACTCCTTTTCAAGCAATTGTGCTCTAAGTAGAGAGCTGGCCGTGATTGATTCTTTTTTTTATGCCTGGATTGATTCAAGGACTTTAAAATTCCACTTGCATGATGTAAGAACTCAATGAACAAAATGCTGAAATTGTAAAAGGACCGAAAAAACTTTTATTTAAGGAGACAGAAATGTGTCCGAATGGACAATACAAATTAAAGAAATTGACAAAGAGCCCAATCGACCAGAATACAAGTAAGAAAGGATGACAAGGGAATTAAAATATCTCCAAATTGGACGAACTTAATTCAGAATGCACTAGTACTTAAATCATCACAGTTTGATTTAGACATCAATTTGAAATCATTTTATCTAAGGAAGAAAGCATAGCAAAATAAATAAAGTTTCAACATGAGTTGTCAACTGGAAACCGCGAAATGAAAGTAAGTTGAGAAGAAGTTGATATTATTTCAGAGATAGATAGTTTATCCATCTGCCTTCGAATTCTGGTAATCTAGCCCGTCAATTGCATAGTGATGGCAAGCCAAGTAGCCCAAAATATTAGGGAACAACTTTCCCTAAATTATTGCTGTAATTAAGTAGCTATGGAAATTGAGGATTGAGATTTCCGAGTTTAATTTCCGCCAAAAAAGTCGTCATTTTGCAATTTCTAAAAGCTTTAGCTCCTTGAGATTGAGGAGAAGTTCCTCCTTAAAATCAATGTAATTTTGACATGTCTCAATTCTTTTTAACTTTTTTTTTTTTGGTTGGAAACTAAATTACCATTATTATGCCTTCAATCTTGACCATTAATATGATCTAACGTTCCTAAACGACAAATTTGTTCTCCCCATAAAGAATAAAATAAAAAATAAAAACTATTTTGTTCACACATTTTTCGTATTTCAGGTTGATGGAGATGGATTGTCCACAACTAATCAATTAGCCATGTACTGATTTTGGAGTTGATTTACAAGGTTAGTCTCAACCTGATACATTTACTTAGGCTTGGGCACGGTTCGGGTCGGTTCAAAATTTGGGCGACCCGTGGGCCGAACCGATGAAGGCTTCGGTTTTCGGATCGGGTCGGGTTTAAATGAAAACCCGAAAATGAGCCGAACTAGAAATGAATTCGGTTCTCGGGTCGGTTCAGCCTTGTGATCGGTTTGGGCTTGAGCCCAATTTTACATTTTCAAAAGCCCAATTTAAATTAAATTTCAGCCAAAAAAAGCCCAAATCGAATTCTCTTTCAGCCAAAACCCTTTTTTTGTTGTCAAATTGACAAAACCTAATAAATTCTTATTAACAAGCCCAAATCACATTTTTACTTCTCTTTCAAATCCTAAAATTATGCAAATTAAACCTATAAAAATCCATCATTCCAATCTAAGTTTCTAAACAACTAAATGAATCCCACATTTACACAATCATCAACTAAGTAAGGAAAGAAAATATAACGTCTTACAACCATTACAAAAAATAACTTACAAATAAAACAAGCAATTTAAATGAAACTTATGAAATATTACAACCCATCACAAAAATACACATAAAGTCTAAAGATAATATCCTTGCAAAAAATCAGCTGCATCCATTCTTCCAAAAGCCTTAACAAAGCAACCTACATAACACTTAAAAGAATTAACACAAAGTTTCACCATAAACAAATCAGCAGCAGAGATGCTAAACAACTGTGAATGAAAACAAAAATAGGGTTAGGTTATGAACAAAATATAAACAGAGATCAAAGAAATATCAAAAGAAGGTTGTCAAAAAGGCAGTACTTCTACCCAAAATTGTTCAGAATCAATACTCACACAAAGCAGTCTTATGAAAAAGGTTTCAGTTACCCAATATTGAATTCAATCCCACACCATCACTTTAACCCCAAAGTTTCACAAAAAAAATAGAACAGATAAGAGAGAGAGAGAGAGAGAGAGAGAGAGAGAGAGAGAGAGAGAGAGAGAGAGAGAGAGAGAGAGAGAGAGAGAGAGAGAGAGAGAGAGAGAGAGAGAGAGAGAGAGAGAGAGAGAGAGAGAGAGAGAGAGAGAGAGAGAGAGAGAGAGAGAGAGAGAGAGAGAGAGAGAGAGAGAGAGAGAGAGAGAGAGAGAGAGAGAGAGAGAGAGAGAGAGAGAGAGAGAGAGAGAGAGAGAGAGAGAGAGAGAGAGAGAGAGAGAGAGAGAGAGAGAGAGAGAGAGAGAGAGAGAGAGAGAGAGAGAGAGAGAGAGAGAGAGAGAGAGAGAGAGAGAGAGAGAGAGAGAGAGAGAGAGAGAGAGAGAGAGAGAGAGAGAGAGAGAGAGAGAGAGAGAGAGAGAGAGAGAGAGAGAGAGAGAGAGAGAGAGAGAGAGAGAGAGAGAGAGAGAGAGAGAGAGAGAGAGAGAGAGAGAGAGAGAGAGAGAGAGAGAGAGAGAGAGAGAGAGAGAGAGAGAGAGAGAGAGAGAGAGAGAGAGAGAGAGAAGCTGACCTGCGTGCAGTGATGGAGGCGGCGCGGTGGCTGATCGACTGAGAGTGAGAGGATCGGAGATCTGAGGTGGGTCGAGAGAGAGAGAGGCGCGCCGCAGCCTCTTAGTCTTAGGTCAAAAACAAAACGAAAAATTAAAACAGAAGAGAGAAGAGAAGACTGAGTGAAAGAGAAGTGAGGAGGGTTACTGGAAAAAAAAAAGGTGAGGGATCTGCTGCAAGCAGTCTCACATGAATATATTTTTGACCAATCACACGACGCCATGTGTAATATATATAGATTTATTTATTTATTTAATTATGTACCGGTTCGGTTCAGGTCCTCCGGTTCTGAAAAAATTAGACCCGAGAGCCGAACCGTGGACCTTCGGTTCGGTTCAGGTCCAAGTTTGACTTTTTCAGTTCAGTCAAAAAATACCCTTTTTCGGTTCAATTTGGTTCGGTTCGTTCGGTTTGATCGGTTCATCGGTTTTTATGCCCACCCCTACATTTACTCCTAATTCACCTTGTAAAGACAATGAAGAAAAAGTTGAGTTGGATATACTTAATAGGGAGTTTAGTTCTCATGAGAGTGCATATAAGTTTTGTCGATTATAAGAATTATTTACATAAAAAGCGAAACACTCAAATGAAAAAGGGTGATGCTGGTGCTATATTACAGTATTTTCAAAAAATGCACTCATAATTCATCATATTTTTATTCAATCCAGCTTGATGAGGATGATATGATTACTAATATATTTTGGGTTGATGCACGTGCAGTAAGTGATTATAATCTTTTTGAGTTGATCATCATAAGCAAACTATAGTGTTTGGGGCAGCTTTGTTGTATGATGAAAAATGTTTTTTTTTTTTTTTTTTTTTTTTTTTTTTTTTTTTTTTTTTTTTTTTTTTTTTTTTCCAATTCTAGATTTTGTGTAGCATTGAAATTTGAGGAAGTGGATGCTCATTATATTTTGTAGTTGTGCACGATAAGAAATCTAGAAGTAGTATGTTATTTTTCAACATTTTTTGGAGTATAAATTTGAAGTGGAGATTGCACATGATTTTCTTTTTTTACTTCTATAAACTTGTGCAAAAACCAATTGAGAATTGTCGTAATGCTTTTCTGTTGAACTTAACATGTGGATAAAATATTTAAGAGTAATGCTATTTAGAAACACAAATTGATCACATTAGTTGACCACCTTACGTGGCAGCAGGCACGGTCCTACACCCAGGCTAACCTGGGCTGTAGCCTAGGTGAGTTTATTTGTTGTAGGCTAAAATAATACCACAGTCCAGCCCACTTGACATCCCCATTCCAGCAAATTAAAATCCCATTAAGAAACCTACCCCGTATGTCTGACTAATAAGTTAATAACAATAAAAAAATTAAAACTAACCCCACACACAAATAAAATCTCATTAACAAACTTGCACTACACCACATCTCACAAATAAAAGATACAAACTAACCCCAAACGGGATTTACAATTGAGACTTATGAATTATCAATTAGGGATTTTGTTAGTTTATATGTTTACATCTTCTATATATTATTCAATAGGTTATACTTTATATAAGTGTTATTTGTATTTGTATTTTGCATTAGATGCATTTTGAGGAGTAAGACTCATTATGTCCCCCGTGTATTTTTTTGTTATCAATGAAATTCAATCTTACTATCGAGTTTTCTATAGGTTTGTATGTAAGGTAAATTTAGCCCACGCCACTTTGAAATCCTGGGTCCGTTCCTGCGTGGCAGCTGATGTGTATATGCCATGTCACTTAAATGTGGCCAACTGTATTTTTCTTTTTCCCTTTTTAAATTAAGTAATTTATATTTTCAACTTTTCTTCTTCTTCGTTGTATCCAACCTCCAAAAAGAAAACCAATTCTTTGATTCAACAAACCCAACTCTACAAATCAACTAATCAAGAAAATCCGAATTGATTCTCAAAAATCTAAATGCCTACTTCACTAGCTATCTAGAAAATCCGAAATGATTTTGAGATCTCATATTCTCTGGCCATATGTATAAGAATTAAAAAGAATTTTAAAACTTTGGTGTGTTGCTAGGAATGGGGTATTAGCTTTACAATCAAATGGGCAGTCTGGTGAAGGATCGAAGCCGAACAATTCCTAAAATATGAACTATTTTTATTTTAAAAATGAATGTTCTTCCAAGATGGATTGATGCAATTTGTTGGGTTTCTCGCGTGGCTTGGTGATTCTCGGAGATGTGGCAATCAGTGCGCCGATGTTACTGGGTAAGGGTAGATTTGATGGAGGGAGTGTTGAGTAGAGAACCTGGTACAGCGTAGAGATGTTAGGGTTAATTATAATTAATTTAATTCTGTTGTTTTTAAGGATTATTATAAAAATAAAATAAAAAAGTAGAATTCACATGGCAATATTCATTAATTGACATGGCACGACCACATAAGCTACCACATAAAGTGATCAGCTAATGTGGTCAATCTTGTGTGTCTAAATAGCATTACTCAATATTTAAAGGAAGAGAAATAACATTTTTGGGTGGAAAAAGTTAAAGGAATTTCAAAAACCAAAAATGACAGAGAACACAACGCAAGGAAGAGAAATAGCATTCTTGAGTTTTTTTGTTCGGTAAAGGAAGAGAGGCTAGATTATTTGCTCAATAAAAGTTGTGGCACAATATCGGACGTTAAAAGAATTGACACATGTCAAAATTACATTGGTTATATTAAAAGGAGTCAAGCTTTTCCCATATAAAATTAAACATAATATAATACAGGAAAATAATATTATGATTGATAACTTATTTAAAAAATATAAATATAATATAAATCTTCTCAATAAATCAAGCAACATGAAAATCCCAACGATACACATTCCTTCTTTTCCTACCGTCATAATTGATGCTCAAACATGATTTTCCATATTTTAAGTCCAATTTTCTTATTTTGAATTTTTCTGATTTTCCAAATTTCCTTCGTATGAACAAATCCATGATTTGTCCTATATCAGACCCCTTCACTTGTAAAGAACTCGAGGTCGAGTTTTCCTTGAATTGAACTTAATAGTCAGTTGACAAGTAAGCTTGATATGCTAATGAATTCTTCAACTCGAGGAACCCATATTTCTTCATGCTTAGACGGAATAACCATGAAAGTAATTTCGTAAATAAGGTTGGAATACGCCAATTTATAATCAAAATATTTGTTCTTCTCGAATTGACTTGTTTGGTCAATTATAGCATTTAATTCCACTTTGGTAGATTGTGGCTTCCCCAAATCTGCCTTATTGCTAATCACCATGTCAATCTCGGATTCTTCAGATTGGCTTACCCCATGGGTTTCAAAGAGTACCGCTTGTGAGTTATCTTCCTCTATGATCTCCTCTTGACTCAAAGAAAAATACTCATCAGACAAGGTGATTTCTTCATTCATAATTTCTTTGACCACCACATTCACTTGTAAATTTGCCTCTTTAAGAGATACATGGAGTTCCTTGTCTTGTCTGAAAGGTACTTCTTCTGTCTTGTGCTCACCAACAAATTTATTAGGATTCTTTCCCATCAATGCTTCTAACATGTCTTTAATCTCCTTCATGGATTTGTTAGGATAAGTTATCAATCAGGATATTATATTCCTGATATGATTTTAATTATTTTTCTTATTAGCTAAGTTTTAGGAATATTCTAAAACCTAGGGTTTTTACAGTTATAGGATTTCTTCGTTTTCTATTTAAGACAAATCATGGCATTGTATTAATCAGTTTTATTCATACTATTAATCGAATTTAAATTTAGACATTTTTTCTATTTTCTGATGGATTCCAATAGTTAATGGATTTTAGTTTATCTTTTCAAGTTTAGACGTTTGTTAATCTGTAAACCCGTGTTTCCATGCTACATCAATACAACAAGAAAAAAGAATTTGAGAATTTTATTTATTTATTATTTTATTTATTTATTTTGTGTCAACATAATTTAACAATTTGGTGATAAATAGAGTTTGGGTTGGGTTTGATCAATCAAGGACAACAAAGTCATTGCCTAATATAACGATTTGATGATAATTAGAGTTTTTGTGGAATTCTTCAAAGGTTTCAATATTCTAATTATTTGTATAAAAAAAAATTATAATAATAATTTTTTATGGTATCAATTTCTTTTGTACAAAGAATGAATATTGGGCCCAACGTTAAGGGCTAAAAATTCAGAACGAACTCTATAGTTTTTGGGGATGGCTTGGTTTGTGGCAGGAGCCCAATACCACAGGAAAAAAAACTCCTTTATATATGTAGGGCTTATTAAACTACAGCTAGGGTTTCCAAACATATATACAGTTTTTTAAACTTTTAATTAGCTAGGGTTGTGTTTCAGTAGCATACAATAATTTCTCTTCGTAGTTTCTTCAGTAAACGTTCATCATTCATCCAGCCAAAGTGCATATGGTCAGGGAAATCAGCAGTATGGATCGAATATCGCAGTTGCCGGAATCGGTTATGCAACAAATCCTCTTTCGCTTGCCTGCCCAAGATGCAGTCCGTATGAGCTTCTTGTCAACAACATGGAAAAGTCTATGGAACTCACTACCTGTCTCTGAATTTAATTTTTGTATGGAAAGTAAAGGTGGTCTGGATCGAAAGAGGAAAAGGTCAGAAGAGGAGTCTGTAACTTCTGTGGAAGAGTCCTTGAGAGTTCTACATGAACATGAAGATCAGAAAAGGATAGTTCACTTTAGGCTGAGAAGGACACTTCTCAAGAAAGAGCAAGCCTCTGATATCGACCGTTGGATCAAGTTGGTCATCAAACACTATGTCCAAGTGCTGGAGCTCCACATAAACAAATTATTCAATTATCATGATAAATTAATCCCAAGGTACAGTTTTCCTCCTGCTAGTTCAGATCTTGGGTCATTAGTTGCACTGAGGTTATGTTCTTGTGATATTTCGAAGGAAGCCTTAAAGCAAGAGGGCATGAGATTTAGCTGCCTAAAAGAGCTCAATTTTTCATTTGTGGATTTGAATGGATTAACCAATGAGCTCCTTTCTAGATGTCCTTCTATTGAGAATTTAAAATTCATTGACTGTAGAAACCTAAAAGATCTTCAGCTCTGTGGATTTTCCAAGCTCAAGAATGTTGACCTAGGCTATAATGGAGTTTATAGCTACAAAATCGAAGCATCCAATCTTCAAACTCTTCGTTATTGCAATTGTTCACTGCCAAAAAACCCATTGGACCTTGAAGCAATCAACTGCAGTAATTTAAAGGAGTGGATAATGGAAACTCCTCTCAGTGAAATTAGCCGTCAATATATTGAGACACTTCTTTTGAAATTTCCCTTTCTTGAGAAGATAAACTTGTCAGTCTCTTATAAATCAACAGAGCTGAAGATCTTGAGTCACCAACTCAAGGCATTAACATTAAATTTCGAATATGACAGTAAAATAAAGAAGATCAGCATAGAGACTCCCAACCTTGTTTCTTACAAATATGTCGGTCACAAATTTCAGCGGTCCTTTTCTTTGAATTCTATGAAGCTAGAAGAAGTTGATCTTACACTAACACCCAGAAGTGCTATTGGCACTTCATGGTTTCTTCAACTGCTAGAATATCTTGGAAAGTTCACGCCAAAACAAGGGTTGGTCTTAACATTTTTCTCTCCCCCAGTTGTAAGTCCACAAAGCTCAGTTCATCTTCTTCTTCATGATGTATTTATTGTATATTTGTCACCTTTGTTAACTTATTTTTCTAAAATATGCATACAGATCAGATTTGCTCGGGAAGAATTAAGAGAAGAAACAAGTTCTCCGGTTTCGAAAATCAAGTTTTTGCAGGTTGGTCTTGTTTGGCCTTCAATTTATCATACAGCTCTCATTGATGGCTTGCTTTGGAGCTGTCGTCCAATCACCCTGTGCATCTTCTCAGATGAAAAAAAAAACTGGCGATCGATAAAGGTAATAACTTGGTAATCTTATAGGACAATGGCTGCTTAATTTCTTATGTGTAGGTTAGGTTCCATAACTATTTACTGCATGTGACCTTCCTACGTTTCAGGATTTATACAAGAAGTTAATGTCGTATAGAGAAAAAAAGGTCCTCTGCTGTGGAGACAGCCATGTCAAATGTTGGCGGCATTACTTAAAGTCCGTTGAGATTGATAAGTTTTATGGTATTAAAGATGGAAAGCGCATGTTTGGCCGTGAAGGTTTAGCCTGCCCTGAATTATTGACAAATCTTGAAGCAGTTTCTAGCATCACTTTTAAGCTAACATGGTATTAGCATTAGGGCAGCTATTTTTATTGTAGTTTGTATTTCAGTGGAAGGCTTCCTATGAATTGTTTGGAAATAATCTTGCACACCTACATGGATATGCTGATGGTTTTGTCTAAATAACTATGTTGATTTCTTTTGGTACCAGCTGGCAAATTTACTTGTGATTAGAAGCATGAAACTTGGGTCACCGCATTTACATAAGGAATTAAAAGTATGTGGGTTACACTTTAAAATATGTAATTTAATGTTCTCTCCAAATCTTTTCCCGTATTACATTTTCTAGAACAGATGGCTAAAGCAATAAAAGACGAGTAGGAGTGTCCCTCACGTAAAAGTTTGGATCTCGAGCTCAGATTTGTGGTAGAAGCCCAATATCACAAAGGATTGGACGATCCTATTTAGTTTAGCAAGCCATCGAAGAACACATGACTGCTTTTGTTTGCACAAACTTCCCCTCCCCTCTTGCATAAAATTCCATTTCCACCTTCAGATATTGATGCCACTTCACAACAGGTAGTGCTAGAATCCTTGAATCCTGTAACCATGGAATTTTCAATTATAATTTACATGCTATCGATTTGTAAGGCATATATGTTTTCGATTTATAATTATCTAGACAATTTGGTAAGAGAACATCACTATAAATTTATCATGCATGCTAATTAATGAAGATTTGCAATCATTAGGCTCAAAGAAGCAACCGCCTTAGTCCCCAGTGGTGGAGCCATACTTAGGCCATAAGTTGGCCTTAGGCCCCCCACAATTTGGTAAGAGAACATCACTATAAATTTATCATGCATTCTAATTGACGAAGTTTTGCAATAATGAGGCCCAAAGAAGCAACCGCCTTAGTCCCCAGTGGTGGAGCCATACCTAGGCCATAAACCCTAAACCCTATTATTCAGGGATATATTGTTAAAACAGATAATTAAGAATCCTCTTCTTCTCCATTGTTTAATGTGAAGGGGCCAAGAGAGATCTGCATATATACCTTTGGAGATAGGGTTTTTGATAATGTCCCTGATGATCTTGTAGGAGTTGAAAAATACAAGAGGAGAGCCAGGCATCTCTGGCCTAATCACATCCACCAAAGACTTCAATTGAGAATTGAAAAGGTCAGTTGCCCGGTTCATATTTTGTACACAGCCATTGTGTGTTGGTCTGTTCATCTTCATCACTGGACTGCACCCAAGTGGATTTACTGACATCACAACAAATTTTCGAGCTCCCAAACTGTGCAACTTCTGTATCGTCATAAATTTTAAATATGCAAATTAAGATTGGCACTTAAGTGACTTGAGCCCCACACAAAAGAAAAAGGGTTAAAATTCTTTTATTCTTTTTTAATACAAGTGATTGTAGTCTAAACTATAGGAGGAGGTGGGTTTCTCACACACGCACTAATACGGTGTCATGGAAGTTTGAACCTGGGATCACTAATCTGCAAATCAAGACCCTTTTTCAATGGCTATACTGACAGGACCCGACCCAAATTCCACTTTGGAATCCGAGTCGAACCCTGTGCGTGTCCGACACCTGGCAAGTGCCGAGCACAAATGACTAAATTGCCCTTCTAGTCAAATTTCAAAAACAACTGGGGTTTGACTTTTGCCGAAAAACTCAGCAAAGTCTCCCCTGAAACGGACCAATCCCAAGATTTCACCTGTCAAACATGCATATAAAAATATACACCAACTGCCAGCATACAAAAATTTACATACTAACAGTTAGACAAGTGTTCTAGGGCAATATCAGAGCTCTACACAGATTAGATTACAGGTATAAAATAAATAAACAAGACCCTACTTTGTCAAGGAAGGTGGCGGAAGATGGACTCGGCCCGGTGGTGGCGCACTGACGCACGACTACTGCCTGGGGGCGCAAAACAGTAAAAGGGTGAGTGGACCAAAAACAAAGTTTAGAAAATAGTATAAGAACATACTAACCCCACTGTAAAAACTGTTATAAAACTAAATCATTTCTTATATAAATACTCGTACTGGAATCACTGCATTCGTATCTATATATATAATCAATCACATACTTGATTAAACATTAAATCATTGAAAGCATTGAAATCAACTTTTAATATACCACCTAGGTGTACCCATTTATAATTCTGTCAATTCCTTTAGTTTCCGTCAATTCCTTATAATCCGTCAATTTCATATAATCCGTCAATTCCATCCTTGTGCCACCGGAGTGACACATCCTAGCAGACCTCGGGAAACACAAGATCACCCAAGCCGCAATCCTAGCAGA